GGATTAGTTCCCTTTCTCAAAATAACTACCTCTGTTTTTTCTTTTACATTTTTATTGTTCAAATTTTATTTTATTTCACATAATGTCCTATTTCTCAATTTCTAGTTTAGCTATCTTTGAATGCAAATGAAGGATGAATAACGTTAAAACCCAATTCTCAAGATTATGTCTTTATGAGGGAGAGTTAGATTTGTTTATACAATATGAAGCTAGGGAAAGATAAAAACAAAAGAAAACTCAGCTAACTCTTGTCAATTTTTCTAGCAAGGGGGATAAAACTCAGAGACTCCATTAAAGGAACTTCGACCAATATAACTGAATTTTACTTGAAACTATTCTGTTCTCATACAGACCAATGTCTTTGGAGCCTGAGGAAGGTACTAGGAAGTTGGCCAAAAAAAAAGAAAAGGAGAATTTCAATATAATTAGAATTAGAGAGAATTGCCTGTGACATCCTAGGATAATATACTATTATTGCATTTTTGTTACCTACATTTTCATATTTTATTGATTTGTGTCTGAGTTAAAGGGAAATCTTTGGAATTGATAAGAAAAGTTTCCTTTATACACAGGTAAATGTTATCACTTGTACCAAGCGAGAATAAATTTTCTCCTTTTCTAGATGTCATTATAGGGTTATTCAACATATCATCCAAAGGATACTTTCTAAAAGTGAAAAGAAAGAAAACACATAAATGACCATTGCAAATATTTACTTTCGTTCTAACTATAGTAAATTTCAAAAGAAATATATATTCTTCATTTGCCAAAGGATGTTTCCATTTTGATTATTTTTTCACTTAGAAAAAAATATATAAAATGTTCATTCTACATAATTTACAATATTTTACTATTGGTCTTTTTACTGCTAACGATCATTAATTGGTTTTATAGAAAACTGCCACCAGCTTTATTCCTTAAAAAAACTATGGTACTTATTTGACTGTTGAATTTTTCCGTTTATGTCTTGTTTGGTTTTATATCTTAAAACAAACACCAGAATCACATGGGCAGAAGGTGAGCTCCTTAAACCGGTACGAGTTGTTTTTGATTCCATGTCTGCAAAAGGAATGAGATGAGAACGAAAAACTGAGCTTATCAACTGTTCGTAGTTCAGGATAATAAATAACAAAGGAACAATATTTGGAAAAAAGAAACACGGCAAATTTTGGGTGAAATCCTTCTCTATAAATTGAAAGGCAAATTGAGCCATTATTCTGTCTTAAAAGGTAACTAGCGTAGGTACAGTCAGAGAGTCACACTGAATGTGATAACCGTGATAGTTACAGATGATTTACTGAGAATTTCTTCATTAATTCAATAAACACTTTTTAATTCCCTCCTGTGTTGTTAGAACTGGACACATTTGCTTGGGGAGACTAATCTTTTGTAAAAAAAACAAAACCATACCCATTGCC